CCGAGACGCGCTCCTGGCCGCCCGCCGCGGCCCCTGGGCCCCGCAGGGCCGGGCTGTGCTCCAGTAACACTGCGGTGCCTTTGTTAAGGGGAAAAAATCAACGTTTCCCACCTAAGAATGCTAAAACTTCTCGTGTATCCCACGAAAGCATCACTAGGAACACCATTAGCAACTCTCACACTCCAGAGCACAGGTATTCCCTACAAAAACAAGTGTTGATTATTTAAAATGTCCATTACCTACTTCTAGAACATGTACTTAAATAAAACTTTAATGCATCTCGAAGTGTACTTAAAAAATAAATCATATGAAGGTAATAACATATAATAAATCAGATACCACATTCCACACTTTAACAGTACCGCACTTTCATGCTACTGAAATTAAATGATGATTTAAGCATATGAAGCACTGCATACTTTCTTGGCAGCTCCTTTAACAGCGATGCAAAACTGAGGTAGCTGATAAATAGAAAGGCAGTTTACTGCAACAATATGTCAAAACAAAAGGCAGCTTAACCATCTCTCAAAGACTGGTGGATGACTGTCAGTAAAACTCACATAAGCTTATATATGAGCTTATATAAAGAACCACCATTAGTAGTCACTCCCATCTCTACTATCCCTCTTTATTGAGGACTAACTCCTGGCAGTATAAAATGCTGTAAGATCATAATTTACTCTCCTTGTTAGACCAAGATTTTTATTCTTCCTGTAGCTACAAATAGCATCACAAAATCTGCTATTCAGATGTGCAAAAAAAGAGAGGAGGAGGGCTATATATTCAGCCATTGTTTTTGTTGACAGTGCACAGAAACGGATTAAGACACATGAGAAAACAAAAATAAAAACGAAGGAAGAAAACAAAGGTGTTATTTTAAAAATACATTTTAAGAGGGTAAGGCATTAGAAGAAGTTGTGATGATGATTGTGTATTTGATGATCTAAAAGTGAGGCTCTGAATATGCAGATGAACGAAAAGCACTAATTTGCACAGCTTTCAAAGGGATACAGTTAAATCTCCGTATTTTTTCAAGCTCAGCATCAGCAGACCTGTATAAAAGATCACTATTAATTATGAATTATATATCAAATGTAGTTTTGTACTTCAGAATAGTTTGCATAGAACTATAGTTGCAGAACTATAGCTAATCAGTTGAGCAAAATCAAGTGAAAAAAGCTACATTTTTATCTTTCTTTCAGCAGCTGTATTTGTCAATAGCTGCATTTGTAAACCATCCACGTTTCCAAAAATCAGGGCTTTGAGCTAAGAATAGTCTCTTTGCTGTATATATGTACATATATAGAGAGATAGATTTTTGTTTTTATCAACTACTGAATTACCAATAATTCTAATAACAAGTGCAAGTGTAATCAATTTCAGTTAACATTAATGTCAGATTATGTTTCCATATAATGTCAATAGACCTTTGGTCAGTATCCTAGATTAGAAACATTATTAGGGACAATGATCCCTAGAAACATATTAGGGGACAGTTATCCAGTTTCAAAAGCTCTGTGTACAGTTCTGGACTGTTTGGGCTTCTGTTAAAAAAAAAAAAAGAGTTCTTAGTCTGGTTTCCCCTATTCGTCTTGCAAAATAACTCTTCTGTAAGATTCTGAATTACAAGAAAACAAGTTTCAGCTAGGACTCAACTTACTTAGCATTTTAAATACTGAAAGGAGGATAAAAACATGCAAAATAGTGCATTTTGAGGTGCATTTGAGTGCATTTCAGATTGTTGAGAAATGCAACCTGCAAAATACAGAATTTATAGCCTTGTTGAGTTTTATTTTCAATATTATTTATAATCAATTATGTAAGATAAAGATGAATACCTGTTTTCTTCATTTACAGAGCACGCAGTATATTCGGGAGTCTCCTCCCTGTCACTCAAACTTCTGCACCATTCTATTACAGTTCTGATGTACCTATGTTATCATGAAAATTCATAGGAAACAAGTAGTTATTTAGGTGAGAAATACAGTCTATTCATTCATCAAAAAGTTGAAGGCATGAGTCAAAATAAAAAGCTGTGATACAAAATCTAACTTTTCTCTAGGTTTCTTTGCCTTTTTTTGATTCCCACTTTCTCCTCCAGCAAGAATCTCCTTAATACTATGCTATCATAGAAAATTATAACAAAGCTACATGATTTTTAATTAATAGTATACAAGTGTTATTTTTTTTTCTGTGAAATTCTTGTTGTTAAAATGTAGCAGAGCAAGCTTCTGATGATCCTCATAATGAGGCTGTAATTAGAGCAAACAGAAAAATAATCTGCAGATAGATGTCAATATCTATAATGAAGCAAAAAATGGATAAAGTTCTATCACTTCCTTGCTCTATTTAGGGCATATATATATATATATATGTATATATCTTGGCTTATCCACTGATTTAAGTGCAAAGGTGCAGCTCTAGTTTGAGACTATATTCTGCAATGACACTTGCTGTGCTCCTGAGTGATACAGGTTTTGAATGCTTGCCAGATGAGAGATGTCATCATCTTGTGAGAAGAACTCTATTTCTTAATATTAAATTTAAAATTCTTTATGTCACTTATACCTTTCATAGATTCCAGGACGACTCATTTGGATTAGCTGCTGTACCCCATCAGAAGTAGTTAACTTACACCAGCCTACATTTTCATTTACCTTAGAAGAAGAAGAAAATTAAAAGTATTAATGTTCTACTAAAAAAAATAAATTATTAATGTTCCACTACAGTCTTGAAAAAAAAGTGCCTACTAATTATTTACTACTAAAACAAAAAGTCATTGCATATTCCACTTTAAATGTTTAAAGCTTGTGTTTTGTTAAGGACAGAATTTAGCATAGCCACATGTTTCTAATGGAAAGAAGAAAACCTGGTATAGTCCCTGACACTGATTTTGTGTTTTTTAAAAATACTTTATTCATTAAAGAGTGAAGAGAAGTCTCCAAATGCACAGAACCCATGAGCTACCTGGATCCTTCTAGAGCCTGGTTTGAAATCCCAGACCATATTCAAGGTCATCCCATCCCAAAATGTAGCACAGACTTTATTATCTGAGTATACAACAACTCTTCCTATTCCAGGAATAACTTCTTCAGCTAGCAAAAATGGCAACATTTCACGTCCATCTGTCTCGGCTTTCTAGAACAAAACGAATACATCAAAAAATCAGGAAAGGTCATTTTCTGTCATTTGAGCTATTTATGTCTCCTGAATTATCAGTTCCCTTGTTCTACCTTAACACCACCAGGATTTCCTTATCATGCAACTGATCTCTGCTTCGCAAAGGTATCTTAACACTGCATGGTTTTGGTTTCTAATATATAACTCTTGGTCTTGTTTGGGATACATGCAGTCTTTCTTCCCCTAGACTAGGTTCTATTCCCCACAGCTGATATAATCTTTTTTTTTTTTTTTTTTTTTTTAAGACAGCAAAATACTTACAATGCTCCAGCTACATACCACTTGCCTGCAGCAGAGACTATAGTTGTGAGTTAACGAAAGTTTAGTCTTGTAGCAGGACCGAAGCATCCTGAGGAAAAAAACAAAAATCCAAAAAACAATCACAAAATATTAAGCATTTCATAATTACTCACTATGTCTTTTACACTGTTGAGACCTTTATTCTACAAGTCTGTAGATGTCCCCCATGCTATTATGAGTTCCTTTAATTTTTACACTTCATGTGATAATAAGCATTATGTGTAAGTGCAATTATTTTCTTCTCCAAGTCAGAGGAATTAATATAACAATAATGAAATAGAGGAACAAGTTACCTGGTTGCCTGTGCAATAATGGAGGCTATAGAGTATGGACTTCCTGGTACGTCAGGAGGTAGATTGTTCACTGAATACATCTTTTCTTCTCTCTGCAGTAAAGAATAGAAAGGACTTGAGTTCCTATTGTTAGTACAGAATTCAGACTGTATTTAAAAGCTTGCAAGACATGAAAATGTGTTGATTTCTAACCCCAAATAACTGTAATAACATTTATATTTTTCACTGAAAACAGACAAAACGTAGTTGAAAAGTAAAAATATTTATTATTTACATCTATTTCTGTGGCAAGATACAAATTCAAAGTTTTTATGCACTCAATACGAACCACAAAGTTCTTATATCAGACAACATACTGTGGTTCATTACTGAGTGACTGCTAAAATCTAGGTTGTTGACCTTTATGTATTTTAAAAATATAAATACGCAAATGTAGCCAAGGACAGAAAAAAAAATGAATTTGAATATATAATTCCTAAATGATGAAAAATGCAAGGGTTAAATTTATGAAACATAAACAGTTGTGCCAGAAAGATCGGCCACTTAAGAACAATGAAGTATCTTTGCTCTTATACCTCTAAAACCTTTTTTTTTTTTTTTTAAACAGAGCAAATTTGCTACTCGGCTCAGAGAATTTCCTCTGAATTGCTCTAGCTACCTAAGTAAGTGTGGAAGAAACCACTATCATCCTTCGTATCAGCAAGCACCGCTACTACTGAATATTGAACCTCATGTTCTGGGACAAGAGTGATTAAAGGGACCACTGCACCTCCCTCCTGGTTTTCAAAGATGTTCTGACCCTAACAGGAAACGGAATGATGCAAGTTTGTTCATATTAACTTTAAAAATATCTTTACAACAGTATGCTTTTTTTTGCAATATGTTCTTTTGTGAGAAAGCGATATTACAGTCTTACAACAATACCTATGCTTTTGAAATAGATGTTGTATCGCACAAGTTTCCTTAGTGTGTTCATGTGTTCCCGAAACAGAAGGAAAAGTTTAGAAATTTGTGTATGCTTAACTGATTGCTTTATCACTGCTTACTACAATGAACACCAGATGGACAGTTGTAGGGCCTTCACTATAGGCTATGAAAGATGCTGTCAAAGAAATTCGAAAGATATTTTTAAGAGTTTTCTTTCTACCTTTTTTGTTCCTTTCTGAATTGCATAATGTTTGAAGTAGTTTCCCAAAAATGCTCCTTCTGACTTGAGAAAGCTGCCATCCCCAGGATAAATTTCTGCAGTATTGGTACTACCATGAATAAACCTATGAGAAATAACAAGATTTTACACAAAACACTGTGCCACTAGACAAGCAACACATGTTAGTAAAGTTGAACAGAACACTAAGCCCAAACACATTTTCATCAAAATGTTTAGGTTTTTACTGTTTTTCAAGCAGCTGAGCATACTAGTTATTTCTTTTAAGAGAGAAGCTCAGTATTACGAAGCAGTGTTTTATCTGCAGCTTGCTGCAAAAGGCATGAGGTCAGCTGTGTCCCCTTTTCCCGGGGCCCCGAGCGTGTGTCTTGGACTCTCCCAGGGTGCTCCTGTGCTGCCCCTGCTTCCCTGGGCTGTTCCATATATCCAGGTTTGGAGAGGAGAGGGGGAAGAAGGCAGTTGCATCTCTGCGAGCTTGGCTGCATGTTGGTTGCATGTACCAAAGCTGAAGTCCCCTGTGGGCAATTCCCAAGCCGTGTCTGGCCACGACTGGCAGCTCAGAGGTGGCTGGTGAACAGGCTTCCCAGAGAGGCTGTGGAGTCTCTTTCTTTGGAGATCTTCCAAACCCGCCTAACACACCTGGATGCCACCCTGTGCCACGTGCTCTAGGTGACCCTGCTGAAGCAGGGAGGTTGGACTAGATGACCTCTAGAGGTCCCTTCCAACTTCAGCCACTCTGTGATTCTGTCATTACTTTCATAATGCAAGAGGAGGCTTTTTTTCCCAGGTGTGTGTATTTTTTTCCTTATAAAGAAATTTAGGGAAAATATTTGTTTTTTTTTTTTCCTTAGGAGGTAAACATCTAAGAGTTAAGTAATCTCCAGGCAGCAAAAAAAAAATCCTTCTTTTCAGCAGACCATCTCAACCTACTTTACACAGAAGAAATAATTGTCAGACTAGCTGCTTTCTAAACCACCCTTACGTATTCACTCCCATTACGACTGTACATTTTTCGCTATGACTACCAGACTTGGTGATCATGCAGTATCTTGGAACTAAAAATTTATTTAAGGATCTATTTCTGCAACTCTGTGGTCAGATGCCCTGATTTCAGTAGTGGAGCTTTAAGATCTGAAAGAAATGAATTATAGCCCTGAAATGCTGCTGTGTGTTTTCTTTAGATGAGTTCCATTTCTTCTTTTTTAAAGCCAATAAAAATCCACAGTAGAGTTTAACTTCCTCTTACAAAATATTACAGAGATCACCAAGATAAATATTTCTAAAATATGAAGTCCTTAACACCAAAAGAAATGATAAAATTTTCAAAGAAAACAAGCATCATAATCATTAGTGAAGCCTATAGGAACTACTGCTGCTCAGTAACGTCCAGGAAGTCAGAGCATTTCTTTAAAATCCTTAATATGATGTCAGAGTCTTTGCTTTAGGCACGCTTATCTGGAAACAAACTGTATTAGAAAATTCGAAGCAAATCTGAAGCCAGTAACAAGCAGCAGAAATCAACAGAATCTTATGTTAATCTTACATGAAGGTTGTGTATCCAGGACTGAGAGAGGGGCGAAGACGTGAATACCTAAAGCTTAATTCCCATGCAAATTAAGTGTTGGGAAGATGAAAAGCATCATCTCCTTCATACCTGTAAAGAACACCTTGGCACCATACGACTTGAATCACCTGAGGGTATGAATGGGTTTCACTGTCTTCATCCTTCTCTTGAAAGAAATCAGAGAAACTCCACCTGTGTAAAATACAGTAAAAGATTCACAAGATCTGCAGCTTTTTTTTTTTTTTTTGGGTCGCTATTACTCTATCCTCTACAAAAAATGTATTTCTATACTGAAAGCGGAAGCATGCATATGCATATCTGTTCAAAGGAAAAGAGAACATATATTTTCAATGAGCTCTGGCTCCTGAGTTATCTGGGTACACCATTTAACCTCTTAGATATAAAACCAGTAATTCAAAGGTTGTTTTAATTCCTTTTAGCAGTGCTGACAGAGAATACATATGACTGTCCCAATTCAGAAGCATTATTTTCTCAAAATAAAAAACAAACACCCTTCTCACTATTCTTTCTTCATTTACATATTTATTTAACATTTATTTAACAATTCAGGGAATGTTATTTTTCTCTAAACTTATACTATCTAATTTCATTACTGTTGGATAAATATTGTTAGCCCCACAAATCTCACACGGAAAGAAGTTCCTAGTAAAGAACAGGATATTTCATTGTTTATTTCTGATGGATAAAACTCAAGTTATTTTCCTAGAGGCTGAAGTTCAGAGCTGCAGAACTGTAAAACATACATTAACACTAGAAAGCAAACAGTTTATACTACCTGTGTAAATGTGGTGCACTGCAGCTGAGTGGCAACGCTGTAGGCAAAGAAGAAACTGGTTCATACATTTCAAAGTTTTTTAAAACATTAGATCTGTTCGATTTCTGGTTATTTTCCTCACAAGTTTCCATTTCACTGTTGAGAGTGAACCGCTTAGAGCACATTAATGCCAATGACAAAGGGTATTTCCATTCTTCTGGGCATGAGGAAACAGAGCAGCACTGTGTAACCCACGTGTACTCAGAAGAGCAACTTGGCAAGAGAGAAGGTCCTTCCCCTCTGTCTTTTCGGTCCTTTGGTTTGGTAGGTTCTGTGTATTTACTTGCAGGACCACCACATTCATCCTTCTTAGTCTCTGTCCTCGTTTGTTTTGATGACATTTCTGGAACAGCATTTTGCCTTGATTGCTCACATTCATTTTTGGTTTCATAATTCCTGTTCCTCTGAGAGGAACGCAAGGATGCAGGCTGACTAACTTTGCATAAGAATTCCACTGTAAAGTCCTGCTGCAATTCCGACAGGTAAAGGTGAGCATACCCATCGAGGGAGGAGACCTTCACACTGCCATTTTTCACACACGTTGCCACCTCAGCCATAGCAGGGTCAGGCCATCGAACATCTACAATATCACTGAGGAGGATCTAATGCAAGAGAACGGATTGGATATGTTAGCTCGCCTGAAGTGACAGTGGAGGGTTTCATTTAAATGAATTGAGTGTTTCAGCAAGGTGATGTGTGGCAAGGTACTTATCCTATAATTCATTGCATACCTAAACTCAAGAGGAATTAAAATAATCTTTTTTATAGAAGCATATCCTGCTTCTCCCTGTTCCAACACCAAGGTTGCCATTTAGTATCTACTCATAAACACGTAAGCCATAAAAAGGCCAACTGACCGGCCATGATTGCCCAGCGACAGCAGACACTTGTTACCAGGAGAAAGCCTGAGCTATCCTGATTGAATTAGTTAGTGGTAAAGCTCACAAAGAGCCCACAGTAAAACTGCGTACATTAAAGCATCATTTATTTCAAAACTTCCCTCTATTTATAAAATTACGGTAATGCAATGAAGTGCCATATAATAAGCATTCGTGTTTTCCTACCAAATGCAATGAAGTGGCAGATAATAAGCATTCGTGTTTTCCTACCGATACTGAAGCATATCAGAATGCCACTGAAAGAAGGTGTGTAAATTTACTAAACCCCCAGCAAAAAGATTACCGAAATGGTAAACATTTTACAGTGTTACCTTAATACGTTTAGAAAGTCTCAAAACAAGCAGCCTCCTCTGACCCAAACAACAACTTTCAAAGGCAGATTCAAGGCCACATTACGCTATCTGTGCTGGGAGAACTGAGCCTAATACCAGCTCAAGTGTGGGAAGTAGCAAAGGCCTTGAAAATGTGGGCGCTGGCTGAAAATTGAGGCGAGAGGAGTAAAGTGGTGGTAATTTACTGGTCACAGAAACAAGTCCTGGGAGCTGGAGGGGCCTGGCAACCTGGCCTAGTGCAGGGGGGTCCCGAACTGCTTGACCCCTCAGGAAAGGCCTATTGCACTGAGGCTTCTCTGAAGAGGTCTTATCTACAGGAGGGAGGGAAGAATAAATAGCGGATATAAAAGGAATATAAGTAAACAATTCCTAAGTTTTAGAGTTGCAGAAAAGGGCGAGACATTTCTCCAGCATTCAGCTGTAAAAGACAGGGATAAACATAAGGCAAAGTTTAATTTGAAAGTGTAATTTAAAATGGAATTTTAAATTCTGAGTTGGCAAATGCACTAACCAAATTATCCTCTGCACATCTTGCAGATTCATATTCATATTCAGGGAGGCAAAAGCTTGCGTGTCCCTTTATTATGAGAAATCGCTGAAGAAAATGCACCCAAGGACATATTTTTGCTGTTGTTGTTGGAAAATATAGACAAAACAGCAGATGTTCCTGGGACATCATGAGAGAATATGAACAAAACAGCAAAGACTGGTTGAAAACAAAGATAAAGACGACCGTATCTTCAAGTAACCATCTGAAACTGGGCAGCAGGCCCTAAACAGGGCCCTCTGGGCCAGAGTAAGGCCGCATATGGAAGTGAGTGCTGGGATGTCATCGAGTGGACACAGAAAGATGGCAACTGCGGGTCTCTAAAGGCCACCAGAGACCACCAAAGGGGCAGAGGGCACACACACACGAGGGTGGGATAGATTGTATTTAGTTCCGGGAAATAGAATGAATAGGTCTGATCATTCCTAGAGTTTAAAGCATATGTAGATAACAGAGAAATAAAAGCTTTAGCAAACACACCTTAGGGTGTCCACAATCGGTGGAACTATCCCCTGCGCACCCAGCTCTGCAATAAAGTGAATGTCTGCTTCTTAATACTACATTGGTGTTAAGAGGTTAATTCCTGGTTTTCAATGACACCTCAGCCTGGCTACCAAGGCCTTTATTATTCTTTAATGACAGCATTTCACGGATAAAACTTACAAAACTTACTTGTTTTCTTTCCGGGGGTATAATAGGCGAAGGTAAGTAGGGGCGAGCAGAAAACTTGTTCCGGAAATCTAGAGCTTGCAGAAGTTGTTCCTGATTGGAAAGAAAAAAAAAGGGAGGAGAGAAAACGCATCGCCGTCAATTAGTCTATCTGGAGGCGCCGCTTCGGCGGCTTCCATCGTGCTCCCCGTTCCCGTGAGCAGAGCTCGAGGC